TACAGTGGGTTGAACAAGTCAGACCAAATAAAGTGGTAATATGTTCAGATTCGTCTTCAGCTTTAATTAGTATAGCACATGCGAGATCAGACAGAAGATTTATTAATGGAAGTGTATCTATCTTTATACAGATTGAAAGAGGCTGGAATAATGGGGGGTTTTTTTGGGTGCCAGCACATGTTGGGGTATCTGGTAATGAAGTTGCTGATAAACTAGCAAAAAAAGCACTAGACAAGATGGAGGTGGATGTTAAAGTTCCTATGGGTAATAAGGAGGCAAAGTCGATTTTAAAGAAAAAGTTAATGAATAAATGGCAAATTAGATGGGATAATAGCAGCACAGGGAGATGGAGTTATAATATTATGCAGACAGCAGGGAGGCTAAATTGTCAGGGAAGAAATAGGAAAGAAGAGGTGTGGCTGTCTAGATTAAGACTGGGACATACAGGGTTGAAATCAACACTGGCACTTATGGGTTTACATGAAAATGGGTTATGCGATGTGGTGTATCTGAAAATGTATATCATGCACTTTTTAGGTGTAGTAAATATAGTGTATATCGTGACATATTATTTAGTCACTTTGGGGAGGAACGATTGACACGAAGATATTTTAGGAAAAGGTTTAATGGATAGACAGGTATACAGAGCACTAATTAAATATATCTATGACTCAGGTTTAGGATCTAGATTATAATATGTGTGGATGGGAGTATTCTACCTAATCTGGGGCATGAAGAGCTAATTGTGAGTGTTAGAGGAGCTGAACACGCAGCACTAGCATGAGCATGTGATCTGAGTGCGCCATAGATTGGAGAGAATAGGAAACATCCACCAATGGGTTTTTTTTGTTTTGTTTTTTTAACTCAAATTTCAGACTCATCACCTATGGAAGTTTACTTGACATCCAGTACAGTAGGTGGTGATAATGCTCCTAAGGAGTTATTCGCCATAAAACAAGAAGAATAAGTAGGTGGCGGTAATACTCATGGACATAATAAATACCTAGACGCCTCATTGGCTGCTTTGAGCCGTTGAGGCGTCTACGTCAACGCATCCGCCATGTTTGTGAAGGCAAGACAAAATAAATATTTTTAGCCTTAAAAATAAATGGAGGTAAACGGGGAGCATGTATCAACCGATTTCAGAGGTTTGTGATCTACATGGAGTTAAAAATAACTCTGCTTCCAGTTATTTAGTTAGGTTTGGAAAATTATAAATTTTTGTAAGAAATTGTGAAAACTCACACTTGTTGATTTGATTGATTTGTTCGGTTTACAATTCTAATGTTAATGTAGTATAACTGTGACATATACATGTTTTGTCATTTGAATGTACATTAAATTAAATTAAGTTGTTTCATTGCTTTCTCTGTCTTCAACCCCAACATTTGAGCTTTTCTTGTGCTTCAGGTCAGAACACAGCTCATTCCCTTTGAAATGCTGGAAGAAAATCAAAATAATACATCTTTAAGAACTAATAATTTACCATCATTGAGAAAATTGAATAAAACCAGCGAATACAAATCAAAAAGTGACACTCTTGGTAGTCTGCTTTTTATTCTGATAGCACTCTATACAGATAAACTCCACAACAAACAATAACAAATGCAACTGATAATCCTTTATGGATCCAGTAAAACTTACAGTTACAGTGGTAAAATATTATGCACTGATACAGTGCACAGTAAAAGTGATATGCAATATTAAAAAGTATATGTAGTACAAGTTGTAGTAAAGTGAATAATATACAAAGCGAGTACAACAGTATATAATAGATTTATAATAGCATAAATTATATGTATAATACCATAATAAATAAATGAATAACAGTAGATGAATAATATCAAGTAGAATATGTAATATCAAGGGTGGAATAATACAATAATGAAGAATAAATGAATAGCAAATTATAAAGTAAAATAAATAATCATGAAATGTAGTTTTATAATAGTATTGTGTAATAATTATTAAACAAAGTAAGAAACAAGTAAGGGGGTGGTTAGAATATGAGCAGGGTAATTCTGTTCATTCATTCAGGGCTATTCTGGGTTTTAACTAGTAAAGTCCACAGATTTATGATAAGCTATGAAATCCGTATAATCAAGTGATGATAAACTTACTCTTTGTAAATAAGTAACATTAGTGAAATTAAAGAGAGATGATTTAGCTCCATCCCTAATCCTGACAGTCTGGCATTGTCTTGTCAAAGAGCTCACTGTACATATTGTGCTCTTAACACAATTTACTTTATGATATAAACTACAATATAAAGTTAAAACTTTGAAACACATGAAGTTATACAAGCTACACAAATTAACAAGATATACCAATGATGAAAAAAAAGGAAAGTCTTTTAAAGATAGCTTACAATAGACTGAAGAATGTTACACGTTTTAGAAGCCTTTGAGTTCAAAGGATTTGACATATTCTTAAAAGAAGTAAAAAGGGACTTTATATCAGATGAAAACATTCTAAAGTTAGGTTTGCACTGAATGGTTCTGGCTTTATGAAGGTGAAATTTACCCAGAGGCAAAGCAATAAAACTATATGTTCCAGATTAATGTCCTTGGAATGAAAATCTGACAAAAAAAATGTTCTGTTATTTCAATCATTTTTTTACAGCAGGAAAAAAATAACATGGTAACTTCTGACCAAAAAGACTTGGTGAATGGGCAATGACAAGTCTAATACATCTATACATTTATCTAATACATAAACACCATTAAATGCAAGTGTAGGAAAATGGTTGTTTACACAGCCATAATATAAATGCGCTTTAAACAAAGTTTTTAAACTGGCAGGGATACTTTTAGTCAGCTTATTAAAATCTCATAGTGAGATTGATGCACCTTTCAAAAACACAAAATCAGAAAAGGAAAGAAGGTCCCCGTCCGAACTGAACAAATCAGAAACAAAAAAGATATTTTGATTCACCCATTCAATGAAACAGAGTGATTTGTTACCAGACAATATATTTTCATTGTTCCAAAGAATACACGTGTGCGGGGAGAAATTATGTTTAAAAGCAATCTTCCAGGATTCTAGGGCTTGTTTATGAAAATTACCCTTGGAATGGGCTGAACTGGAACGTCCTAAGCCCTTGGTCACTTAGAATCAGCTATGGAGTTGGTTTATTGTTTACATTTTTTCCCTTATGAATTTGTTTGGTGCCGCATTCTATATCTATATAGGTATGTTTGGGCTGTTATAAATGTTTAAAAATATATATTTATATATAATTGTTTGAGGTGGGGATAAATTAAACACGATCTGCGATGACGTCACAATCGTGTTGCATTGTGGTCTATGGAGCGGCCTGAAGTGTGCATATGAAGCAGACTCGCTCCCTCGGTCAAAATCGAGGGGTCGAGGGTCTGACCATATAAACTTCCCTCGTCCACTTCACGAAGTGGAACGCACTTCAAAATGGCAGCAGTGATTCCCCTGAGGGGAAGTGCTTAGGGAAGTTCGCGAGTGCGTGTCTAAAAGTGGAGTGGTACGCAGCCTAGGTATTTATTATGTCTATGGTAATACTCCTAAGCAGTGAACGGCCATTGAACAAGAAGAAGAAGCAGCGCATGCGCCGTCGCTCTCTTCCAGTGTCGACACTGAGCGCGACCAAACAGACGTTGAAGAACAAGAGGTGGAAGAGTACAGTTGAAGCGCTTCGTCTTCTTTATTATTTTAAAAAGATCAGTTAAGACAAATAAATTCGGTAAGAATATGCAAAGTACATCAATTCACACAATGTATTTCATGTAGCCATACACAACACTGTCGACATTTGCAAAAATGCAATTGTTTTATAAGTTTAATGGAGGGCAGAGTGATTGTGAGCTGCAAGCACACGACATAACTTAGTTTGGTTTAAATGGGTAATGGCCAGGCATCTTTTCCTTCTCGTGCAGTGGTTCTGTTGTTTTCTTATTTCTGAGAAGTGCTGTGCTGAATTGAAAGACTGAGAGAATAGCAGCGAGCTGTGTTTCTGCTGTAGACGGAGTAAATACAGACGGCGCCATTTTGTCATCTCGCTGGGTTTGAGGTTTGAATGGCCGATGACGCCATGCCATGGATGTTATTGTTAAGCTCATATTTAACTAGATGATTTTTATTCAAGAAAGCAAAGAGTGCTACGTTTCAAAGCTTTTCTCGAACGGCTGGACACACCTGTCTGTTTCTATTGTTATGATTCTCTTTTATTTCAGTGGTTGGTTGTTCCTGCTAAAGCGAATAAGCTCTATTTGACACATCATTTGAAATGTGCCCTGAATGAAGCTCATTTTGTATTCGATGTTGTATTAAGTTTGTAGCCACTTCGGCATGAATCTGAAATATGGTGACATTGGAGCGTTTGGTTTGTGGAAATCGTGTGAAAAGTGTTGCTGCCATAAATCTCTTAAGATTTGTATTCAAGTGCGATTAACAGACTTAAACCTTGATCCTATTTTAATTATTTGGTTATTGATAGTAGTTACTATTAGGCATGGGCCGGTATGAGATTTTGACGGTATGATAACCTTAAGCTAAAATTTCACGGTATCACGGTATTGTCGTTATAAATGTAAAAAAAAAAAAACCTTTTTTCCGCTGAACACAATATATTTAGTTTGAGCAGCATAAAGAATATTAGGAACAGTAGAATTAGTTTTTTGTCTTTGATTTGTTTCCTAAAAAGAAAAATAAAGACTGACATCTTTATTTAACCTAAATCTGTAATTACAGTTATTTAATTTTAGTTATGTAATTCATATACATCATTTAGTTATATAATTTCATGTACATCATTTGATTTAATAATAACGCAATTTGAAGCAAAAACAGAATGTTCTGACTAGCTTTGTGAAATTATACTACATGCCTGAATGAAGCAAACAGCAGAAGCTCTGAATGAGACGCAGATTCACTCTCTGACAGCAGGAGGCGCTTCTGGAACACCAGATACAGTGTTTCCTTGGTTACCGCTGTAAACAAAGCAGCACTGTGCTGAAACACTGCTTTAATATGAACTATACAGAGATGAGATTAAGAGAAAATACCACGTAAACTTTTCTGAAGACAGTCAGTTCCCCTCAGAAATACATTCTTAATAGGGCCTTTCGCACCGCGGGAACCTTTTCATAGTACCAGAACTAATTGTGGAACTACGCACTTTTTGGCGTTTTCGCACTGCCGGAACTGGGTGCGAGTTTAGTATCGGACTGCCTTTTTTCGAGAACCAAATTAGCTCCTACTCAGGATCTAACCAGCACAACTGGTACTAATCGTGACGTAAGTAGACATCGATTGGCCAAACGTGTACGAAAACACCCTCACCCGCCATGATTTAAAACGCCGTGTAAACATACTGTAAACATTGTCAACTTATTTCGCAAGTATGGAGAACAGCAATAGATGGATGGACGCTGAAGTGCAGGCACTTGTAGCAAATGTAGCACTTATTTAGTTTGAGCAGCATAAAGAATATTAGGAACAGTAGAATTAGTTTTTTGTCTTTGATTTGTTTCCTAAAAAGAAAAATAAAGACTGACATCTTTATTTAACCTAAATCTGTAATTACAGTTATTTAATTTTAGTTATGTAATTCATATACATCATTTAGTTATATAATTTCATGTACATCATTTGATTTAATAATAACGCAATTTGAAGCAAAAACAGAATGTTCTGACTAGCTTTGTGAAATTATACTACATGCCTGAATGAAGCAAACAGCAGAAGCTCTGAATGAGACGCAGATTCACTCTCTGACAGCAGGAGGCGCTTCTGGAACACCAGATACAGTGTTTCCTTGGTTACCGCTGTAAACAAAGCAGCACTGTGCTGAAACACTGCTTTAATATGAACTATACAGAGATGAGATTAAGAGAAAATACCACGTAAACTTTTCTGAAGACAGTCAGTTCCCCTCAGAAATACATTCTTAATAGGGCCTTTCGCACCGCGGGAACCTTTTCATAGTACCAGAACTAATTGTGGAACTACGCACTTTTTGGCGTTTTCGCACTGCCGGAACTGGGTGCGAGTTTAGTATCGGACTGCCTTTTTTCGAGAACCAAATTAGCTCCTACTCAGGATCTAACCAGCACAACTGGTACTAATCGTGACGTAAGTAGACATCGATTGGCCAAACGTGTACGAAAACACCCTCACCCGCCATGATTTAAAACGCCGTGTAAACATACTGTAAACATTGTCAACTTATTTCGCAAGTATGGAGAACAGCAATAGATGGATGGACGCTGAAGTGCAGGCACTTGTAGCAAATGTAGCACTGCCAGTTGTCGTTGGAGATTCTTAGTCCTTCTTTCAATCGCTTTACGTATATGTCGACTTTCCATGTCCATTATTGTGAAACCCGCGAGACACAACAAAAACAGCTCCGATCACAGCGTCCTCCATCCTCCTGTTGTTAATGTTGTTTTTCTTTGTTACGTCACTTATTAGTACACACTCTCGATGCGAATGCAACCCTTTAAATGGTACTGGGAAATAGTTTGCGCAAAATCGTCCCAGTACTTTAGTACTGTACATTTAGTTCTGGAACTAAAGTGGTGCGAAAGGCCCTATAAACCCCCAAATCAATATTGAAGATTTTCTTCCAATAGTTTGTGCATCATGAACAGTGAGTGATCTGCCTGCTACAGTATTTTTCCCTGTGCGTCCGTCTTCAATCTCTCTGGCCTGTGTTAACGGGCGTTTACAGACTTCATATTTTCACTTAAATGACATTTTGGAAAACGATTGCATTGGAACGCAGTTTGTGCAAGTCCAGAACAGAGACGAGTTGGTTGCAATAAGACAAAAAACGTCCGGTTGCCTATCACATAAGTTCCAGGGGAAGCTCCTTAAAGCAGCACTATGTAACTTTTGGCGTTCTAGCGGTTAATAAACAGAACTGCACACATCCCTCGGAAGAACATTCCAACCGGAGCTACTTCTCTAAGTTTGTCTATGGCGATTCACGCAGGTACGCGTTACTCCGCAGTGGTGCCGACCTGACCAGGATACAATAGTCCAAATATAAGTACTTATTATAAGTGTACCGTAGTGATTCGGAATAAGACATAAACATGGTTTGGAAGATGAATTCATGATGTACTCGCTTATTATATACATTTTGCTAATTTTGAACACACAAAAAGTTACATAGTGCTGCTTTAAGTTTGGACATCCTACACAAACGTGACTGACCGCTCGCACCAACAAGAGGAGGAGGAGGGTCCGTGTTACTCTCTACACTGCACTCAACCTGAGGGATTCCTACACTTTCAGTCTTTGAGGAGACATGAGAAACTGCGCATACCGCAGGAACGGTATAACGGAAAATATTAGCGGTTTTGAAACCGTGAAATTTTCAAATCGCGGTATGCCTTGAAACCGGTAATCGGCCCATGCCTAGTTACTATCTGTTTTACGTGCATTCAGGTTTATTTTCACATGGTTGCTGAATATGTGACCTGGTTTCCACTTTTGGGTTAAGACTCTTTATTTAACTGGCAGAACATAGGAGATTGTCACATTTGAGTCTGAATACACTTATGTAAGAACTAACCTAGTTTTTGTGGTTTCTGGTGGTAGGTGATCAAATACTTAACTCCCATTTAAACTGTTCACCCATAAATGAAAATGGTCATTTTCTCACCAAAAGCGATTAAACTCTGTTATCTTCAAAACAAATGAAAGTATTTTTAATGAAACCTTATCTGGCGTTCCTTTGAAAGTCCGTGCAACCAAAACTTTAGCACATCAAAAAGTACATCAAGAGATTGTAAAAGTAATCCATAGAAATTGAGAGGTTTAATCCACAACATCGTGTTTTAAATGATGATGAACGCAAGATCCAGTGAGGTTTATTCTCATGCGTCAAGTGAGCATATTTAAGCTTCTGTTAACCATATTTGTTTGGCTCCATGTATGAGAGTTGATGATTGTTTATGTGTGAATAAAAGCCTAAATTAAATCCGTTTATTATATCAAGTGAAAATGTCTCCAAAAGATTTGGATTAAACTACTCAATTCATGGTTTACTCTTGGTTTATCTCTTTTTGTATAAATTTCACATTCTCTGGAGAGATACTGAAGAAAGGTTTCTAAAAATGTAATGTTGTATTGGTGTTTTTACTGTCACATTGGCTTTTGTTTGTATGTTTGCACTTGCAGGTTACCAATTTGGAGGTCAGAAATGCATAAGTTAGTTTGAGACAAGCTAGATGCTATTAGAGATGCTCTCTAATTGAGTTTCTTACACTTTACTCACAACTTACCAACATTATCAGATGTTATTGTCACTCCATGGAAGGTCACTCTCTGTTTTTGTAGCTTAATATGCTTTGACATCTGTTTTTCCCCCTTTTTATATGAAAATGTTAAAATGTTCCTGTATTTTGATGTGTTGCTGTTAAGTATTAATGTTTGCTGGGGTTATGAAATACATGACATGCATGCGTTTTAAGCATGCGTCCAATTCATATGTGTATGGCTTTCGCGAAGTAGCTGGCCACCATCTGATGTGCACAAGTGGTGATTAAATTTGTTGTTTTGCTGAACAAGAATGTTATACTAAATGGGCTGGAAATGGCTGGCACTGAATGGTTTTCTTGGAGTCACTCATGGGTATGCTTGTTCTAATGCTGTTTACATATATTTCCCTCCATTTATTCTTTTTATTACAGTCAAGAATTGATTTTAAATGATTGCCGTCAGGATTGGCTTGGGTATCCTGTGCATCTTGTAAAGAAGCAGCACTTTTAATACAGGTAAGCATCTGAGGGATCTTGGTCAACTAAACTTAGAGATATTTGGTCAATTACTTTTTTTAGTTATCTAAAAAATAATAAGAAAAATGCATTCATTTAGAATCTAGAAATGTGGCTTAATGGTTTTTGTTGTCTTAAAATATGTCATTGCAATATGCATTCTGTGCGAATGGTTGACTATCTACAAATGCAATTGTCTTTCTCTTTTTTTTTTTTTTTTTTTTTTTTACAATTTTATAAAAGTTTTGGGGGAAATTAAGAAAATTGCTGCAAAACTTTCTTTTAGGTTGTTGCTGTCTACAGTACAATGTTATAAAGCATAGGCTATTTAAGCCTATTTAGGGTTCCCACAGTTATTGAAAACCTGGAAATATAAGTAGAATTTCGAAATTGTGATTTCTAAGTCTGGAAAAGTTGAAATTAAAATCTTAAAAAGTCATGCAATGCAAGTTTTTCTGGCTCTGCTCTGGGGCCTGATGTATAAACGTTGCGTATGCACAATTTTTTACAATGCTATCAAAGTTTTGGGGGACATTAAGAAAATTGCTGCAAAACTTTCTTTTAGGTTGTTGCTGTCTACAGTACAATGTTATAAAGCATAGGCTATTTAAGCCTATTTAGGGTTCCCACAGTTATTGAAAACCTGGAAATATAAGTAGAATTTCGAAATTGTGATTTCTAAGTCTGGAAAAGTTGAAATTAAAATCTTAAAAAGTCATGCAATGCAAGTTTTTCTGGCTCTGCTCTGGGGCCTGATGTATAAACGTTGCGTATGCACAAAATGGCCATGGAAATGTGCGTACGCAATTTTCCACACATAACGGGATTTATAAAAAAGAAACTAGGCGTAAATGTGCACACCGTACGGACACTCTAGTCCAGACCATGCGTACGCACTCTTTTACTGGAGTGAGTGAAATAAGGAAGCAAACAGAATGATTTTAAAGTCTGTTTTACATTTGACATACACATTTAGATTAAATAGGACACTGAATAATGAAGTTAAGAACTGAAATTTCATTAAATTATTATCCAGAAATTACAACATTTTTATATGAATTTAAACAGAAATATTTGCAGTGGATATGCTGCTTTCAAACAATTTTCCTGTGTCATGCGATTACATTTTTTAATCGCAGTGAGAATTGCTTGGCGTATGACAATTCCGCTTTAAATTGTGTTCCAAGTAGCAAAACTCGTGTTCTGAGAAAATGCTTTTGCACGAATAATGATCATTGATGTGAACTTGATTCGTCTGATGGCTTTGGAACATAGACGGTAACGACAGACATAAGGATGCGCTCGTTGATCAAACAGTCCATTCATTGGTCTGATGACAGTAGAACTGTTCACAGGTGTCGCGCACAGACAGTAGCCTAATGATAACCCCTTTCGTGCTCTTCCCAATATTGTGACAAACACCATATTTAAAAGATAGAATTTGAAGGAAACCGTAAGATATGCGTGTTTTATTTTCAAAATGTTTTATTGACACGGTGAGTCAGACAGCTATTTACACTGCAAAAAAATTATTTCCATAAAAATATAAGCTATAAACATTCTAAAATATATGTTTACCTTTTAGGCAAATTGCATAAATTAGAATAGTGATGTCTCAAAATGCATTTATAGTCCGTATCTCATATTTTCCTAACGTGTTGTAGGCTAGCCATAACTGCATTAAACATGGTGTCACGTGAATGGAAATATGCATGGAAATGATATGTAGATGGCGTTATGCATATTAAAACTAAGCGTTGTAAGATCCATAAATGGCTATTTCAGGGAGGAGACGGGGTGGAGATTCGTGTACGCACAATCTTCCGCTGACTGGGTATTACAAAGGGAATTTTGTGCAGGTTCTGGTGTACGCATGGTTTTATAAATCTGAAAAATTGTGCGTACGCCAAATCTAGCTTTTGTGCATACATACACTTTTAGGATGAAATCTATGGAAAGTTTTATGCATGAGGCCCCATGTCTTAAATAATTTGTCAGCTAAGCTGTAAATTGCTTTTGGTGAGTGCAGTCTCCATTTAAATTTTTCGAATTTTCAAGGATTTAAAAAATGCTTATCCATTAATCACAGGTGGCTATAAAAGCCATGGAAATTCATGGTTCAAAATAGGGTTGTAACAATATATCGGTATGAGAGTTTATCACGGTTTGAACGTGCACGGTTATCATACCGTAAATATTTGCATATCTACTTTTTTTTTTTTTTTTTTTAAAGTCCCCCTGTAGTCAAATATTTTATCCCTTAAAACTTATCTTTGATCATCAAAATTACATATTTACATTTTTTCTTGTGAAAATAATTTCTCATTCCTTAAAATAGCTTGAATGCAACTGTACACCCTTTTACTATATGCTGATCTATGAATATGCAAATTAGTCCCGCCTCCACTCAGTCACACCAGCCAGCGCCTCCTGATCCACTGAACTGTAGTAAACGCAAAACAATGGCATACACGGATAATGACTGATAAATCTATATATTTTTACTAGTGGACAACTACAGTGAATACTGTAACATTCGTTAAAGTTACTTACTTGACGATGTTGTGTCCTAAAATGCCTTGAAGACTCGAATACAGCCGTTTGTGATACTTAATTTGCGCCCGCGAGCATACGCGTGTGAAGTGCAGATGCCGATGCAGGAGAGGTGGGTCTGACTCCGGGCTACTTTTACACTGTTGCCACGGGTTATAATGCAAGTTAGCGGTTCTAAATTCACATTAAACCACAGCTTCATGGGTTTTTTGCTTTAATTTATTTTTGGTTTTGTGCTGGTATTGGTATATTTTGCATGCTAGTGATAGGAATCGATCCCTTGACGTGATTGGTTATTGGTTTGTGACGTCGCAAACCGGGGGCTGTTTCAAAACTTTAAATGAATGAAAAAAAAAACGCGCTCACCCGCACATATGCAACTTATTTCCGCTCGGCTGCTTCACTCTGCATTCACTTGGCCGAACACGGGGTTGTCCTTGAGGACGGATCCAATTTGCAAAAAATGTGGACGCAAAGTGGCTGCAAAAGCAAGCAATACATCCAACATGTTCGCTCATATTCGTGGACATCATTCCAGCGTGCAGATAAAGGTGTGTCGCATTTATAACAAGTTATAAGTTAAGGTCATATGATTTCCGGGATGCAGAGGGAATCCCGGTGCAGTCGTGAACATGGAATTTACAGTACAGGCTAACGAGGATGTCACGTAAAACACGCTAATGGATCCACATCTGATGGATGGATAAATCAAAAGTAGATATGATAACGTTATGTGTCTGAATATTAAAGCGCAAAGAGACCGCTATATGAATAATCTGCTTGTTTCTGCATGTCTCTTGAGTGGCGCCGTTTTATCTACTACACACTGAAGAACGCATACATAAATGGTGTTTTCAGCATCTATACATAAACATGAACATCACCATAGCTGCTCTGAGAGAAAAATTAAATAAACATTTCCTTTTAACATTTGAGAAAAACCATAGTCAAATACACAGGTCCGCTACAACCCGTCAAAATAAAAGTTCGATTTAACTTGAAATTATGACAGAAATATATTAGCATTGTACAGTGTTCTTCAAAGTTATAACAACAATAATAATATTCTTTATAATAAAATCATTTATTTAAACATTAAGGAATATCATGTTTTTTCCATATTTTAACTTGGTATACACCTCTGTTGTGCAGCACTTTGCCAAAAATAAAAGTTGTACATTTTCATTTGATAACATTTTAAAACATTTAATTAAAATGTTAAAGTGTGGTATAGGTATACATAAGGTGTACAGCTTTATTTTTTAATTGTTTTTTTTAATGAAATTTATTTTTTCAGAAGGGAGATTTCAATACTTTCATTAAAATGGTTTCAAGTTTGTTTACTCCAATAACTTGTTCTTGTTTTTTTAAGAGTCATTGTTACTGATAAGAATTATTGTTTAATATATACAGTTAAAACCGTGATATTTTCTGAGATTATTATCATACCGTGAAAATCTAATATCGTTACAACCCTAGTTCAAAAGGTTTGGGAGACCTGTGTTCAGTTCATCATTAAGCCAGAGACACTGTAGAATAGGCTACACCAGTGGTTTTCAATCCTGGTCCTGGGGACCCACAGCACTATGCATGTATCTTTTATTGAAAATACCAGATTATCAGCTCATTAGGAGAGATCGTCATGAACTGAACTGAATATGTCAGATAATATAAAAATGTGCAGGACAATTCAGTCTCCAGGACAAGAATTGAACCAATGGGCTATGCCATATTTGCTTAATTAAAAAAACCAAACGGTATTATTAGTGGTCTCGACCTTCTGTTACATTTGAAGATTGTGAGTTGAGTTGTCAGTTAAACTCCGGAAATTAGCATGTTTAACAGTGTTTTATGTAGTGTTTCAAGATTAAGTGTTTAAAAATGCTTTTAAATACAACTTTGAAAATTGCCATTGCTTTATAAGTTTTGTTCAGCTCAGTTCATTAGTCATTTTGAACTTTTCAACTAAAAAAAATTCTAAACAATGTGATAAGCTAAGAATTTGTGATTCTTACTGGATTTGCGGTGTTACATTTTTTTTTTTGCTATAATGTGTTTTCTCTCATAATCTTTGGTCTTGCTGTTAATTGTCTTGTAGTTTTATACTGGTTTTCTGTTATCTTTTTGCCGTTTACCATAGCCTGACAGTCGTTGCCTTCTTTCATCTACAGGTGTTTGTTGTTGCACCTCAGCATGGCTGTGGTCATCCGTTTGCAAGGTCTCCCCATTGTGGCTGGGACTATGGACATACGTCATTTCTTCTCTGGATTGACCATACCGGATGGTGGTGTACATATTGTAGGGGGTGAACACGGTGAGGCTTTTATCGTGTTCGCCACAGATGAAGATGCAAGGCTTGGAATGATGCGCACAGGGGGGTCGATCAAAGGTTCCAAGGTTTCTCTGTTGCTGAGTAGCAAAACCGAAATGCAAAATATGATCGAGCTCAGCCGTAGGCGCTTTGAAACTGGCAGTGCAGAGGTTGCCACGGGAAATGGCAGTAGGCCGGGTCCACCGGTTAGTACTGGTGGAAGTGGAAGAGGCAACTTGCCAACCACGGCACAAGGTTTTAGTAACACAACTTCAACTACAGCCACCACAGCAGCATCAACACATGATCCTGTAAGCAACAAGACTGTCCCTACCTTTTCGACCACTACAATGGGCAACATGCCCCCAAACTTTAATAATTTCAGCAGCCCAAGTCTTAGTTTGGGATCCACAATGTCCACGGCAATGTCGTCGTTGAACTCTGTACCTCCCCCAGTACCTCCCTTGCCCACCATGCCATCTCTACCACCCATGCCCCCCATGCCAGTATCCACATTGCCACCAGTATCCACATTGCCTCCAATACCAGCTGTTAATCCGCTAACATCAGTGTCTCCGGTCCCACCCATTGCACACATGCCGCACCTGCCAGGGCTTCCACCATTTAACCCCGGTGTCCCTCCCCCTGTTGGCCCCGTCACTGGTGGTTTAGCCTCTTGTCCACTGTCTCTCGGAAATCCCAATCCAATGTTCCTGAATCCCTTAAACCATCTAAACCCCCTGAATCTCCAGTCTCACATGAAATCATCAGTGGCAAACCCAGATGAGTTTTACATTCATCTACACGGCCTTCCTTTTTCAGTCACTGAAAGTGAAGTTAGAGATTTTTTCCAGGGACTTGGGCTTGAGTCCGTTCGTTTGCTCAAAGACAACCTGGGTAGAAACATCGGCAGGGCATTGGTTAAGTTCTTCTCACCCCAAGATTCTTTTGAGGCTCTGAAAAGAAACTCAGGAATAATAGGCCAAAGATATGTTGAGGTTTCTCCAGCTACAGAGCGGCAGTGGAGAGAGAGCGCAGGACACTTTAAAGTATGTAGTGACGCCGAACACAGCCGTCATCATCGCAGAAACACCAATTCGCCACCACCCTCTGGCCGTGAGCGAGCCAGGTCTCGATCACCCCACAAACTAGAATTCTGTGTATATCTGAAAGGACTCCCATATGAAGCAGAAAACAAGCAGATTTTTGAGTTTTTCAAAAATCTTGACATTGTTGAAGATAGCATTTACATTGCATATGGACCCAATGGCAGGGCAACTGGTGAGGGATTTGTGGAGTTTAGGAATGAAACGCACTACAAAGCTGCTCTCGGATGCCATATGCAGTACATGGGTAGTCGGTTCATACAGGTGCATCCAATCACAAAGAAAAATATGTATGAAAAGATAGATGCTATTCGCAAACGAATGCAGGGTTCCCAAGGCAATCAGAAGAATAGTTCGGGTGAAGGAGGAAAGAGTGCCAAGAATTGTGCTCACATAACCAATATTCCCTATAACGTGACAAAAAAGGATGTCCGTCTGTTTCTTGATGGCATTCAGTTGTTTGAGGAAAGCCTTAAGGTGTTAGTTGACGCAAATGGTAATGGTCTTGGCCAGGCTATTGTGCAGTTTAAGTCTGATGAGGACGCACTTAAAGCAGAGAGACTACATAGGCAGAAATTGAATGGCAGGGATGCTTTCGTTCATTTGGTTACATTCGAGCAGATGAAAGAAGTTGAGAGAAATCCTCCTCCCCAGGCAAAAAGAGGCCAGAAATCCCAAGGAAATTCCCATGCTCATGCTCATACCCATGTACACACTCAGCCCCAGGTCCAAGTTCCCCAAGCACCTCATGCTTTTCCAGGAATGACAGGCAATGAGTTCAGTTTTCTGAGAAGTGCTGTAGGGACCCTTGGCAACGGTCCCCCTTTTGTCAACCCATTCATTGCCCCAGGTAATGGACTGGCAGGTCCACCACCTTTACCGCCACTTGGCGCTGCTTTGGGTGACGTCTCGCTTGGCATTCCCCCGCCAATGATTGGGGGACCTCTGTCCGGTCCTGTTTTAGAGCACCCTGGTTTCAGACCTGACGGCAACAGTGCACCTTCCAACTTTGTTGGTGTGTTAGAGCCCTTAAGGGGCATGCCACCGTTTGATAATGGATCTTCTCATAAAGCAATTAGCCAAAATCGTGGAGGTAGCCAAGGTCAGCGGCCAGCTTCTGAGAGTTTAAGAGGACCATCCAGCAGTGGTCCAGGTAATACGCGGCCCACCATTGTCAAAATTCAAAACATGCCTTTTACTGTGACCGTTGACGAGATAATTGATTTCTTCTATGGCTATCAAGTGTTGCCTGGTTCTGTATGCTTGCAATTCAATGAGAAAGGTTTGCCCACTGGGGAAGCGATGGTTGCTTTTGACTCCCATGATGAAGCAATGGCTGCTGTTATGGACCTGAATGATAGGCCCATTGGGGCAAGAAAAGTTAAGATCACTTTGGGATGAAAGCAACATCTTTGTCATTGCAAGTGTCTTAATGTTTGACACGGTTTTCAGAAGGGGAAAAAAAAAACTTATCTGGCTGTGTTTATGTACAGAAGAAACTGACAAGTATTAGATTTTTGTTTTCTGTACACATTATTTATCCAAGATTGTAGTTTAATGAAGCATGACATAATTGAGGAAAGACGATGTTTATTTTAAATTCCTCTAAACAGCATTGTTTAAGACTTCAGGCCAATAATGTGTTAGTTCACATCTGCAGATCTGAAAAAGGGCCATCTTTATAGTGGTATGTTCATTAGAGCCTAATATCTGCGATGGAGGTTAGTTGGCAAGTACGTTTCACTCCCAGAATTCGTCATTTTGTATCTCTGCTCAAGTTTTAAACTTCTGTATTTGATCCATGCTGCATCTACACATTTTCTTCTGAGGTAAAAACCGTGCTGCTGTGCATTGTGTGCTAAATTCATGCCTGCACTTCAGTTGCAATGTTTGCTGTCTGCCACAAGTTTTTCCTATGTCAATAAAATGCAAATGTCTGTCTTTATCAATATCTGTTGCTGTCACATTGAATTGCTTTAAAAAGCCTGATGTCAGACCAATTCTGTAAATGCTAAGCGGGGATGTGAAGCAAATGCAGCATTGTAATTTGTATATGAAAGCATTTTACTCTCTTTGCTTAGATTCTCTTCTCTTGTTGCTGTGGTGTTTGATGGCTTCCTTTTTTTTTTTTTTTTTTTTTTTTTTTTTTTTTTTTTTTTTTTTTTTTTTTTTTTTTTTTTTTTTTTTTGGAGTTTGGCTTTTTTTTAAGTGTTGCTGAAATGGGTCAATTGTTATGTTTATTAGTTTTTGACGTTACAGCGCTTTTTCTCTTGTAAATACTTTCCAGCTGAACTATTGTCAATAAAATGCCATTCCTGAAATGATGACACTTAAAGGTATTCTGTTTTCTCCTGTCCTCCTGTTTTTGTTTTTTTTTTCTCTCCAGTTCAGATATGAACATTAAAATGTTTTGCAGTGACTTCCTTGTTTCCCATATTAAACTAATTCTATTTTAAATATTTTTTCATCAGATGTTATTGTAGAGATGGGACTCTAGCTCTAATCTATTGCTTGTTGCTTTTGACTGTCTTTGTTGTAGCCTTGACCTTTTCCCCACAATGCATCATTTAAAATTTATTTATTTTTATACCTGAGGTAAGAAGGCACTCTTTAAATTGTTCATATTTTCTGCTATCACAGATAAGCATCTCAGGTAAAAGCAACATACTGTTAAATGGGTTCTTGGTTTTTAGAGTGGAAACAATTTTGTTCAGTTGAGTCAGGACGTTAAATTATCTAGTAATTATTTTAGTTAATATTCTGTTGAACTGCATGGTATAGATTTAGGCTTATGCCTAAAGTATAGTGTATGGATCACAAACTCATGAAATTCTGCCCCAGTTGTGCCACAGATGGCTTTTTAAGAATGCAGAGTCTCCATATGTTAAAAAAAAATAAATAAAGAGGAACACATTGTTTTTTAACTTTGCTTTGATATTATATAAGGGGATAAACAATTTTCATACAAACTGCACTAATGAGAGGCACATGCAATGTTTCATTGTTTTGGCTGTGGATTATTGTGGCAAATGTCATGCTGCATAAAAGCTTTTCTAAAGATTTTTCAAGTAGCTCATGGTTGTCATTTCTTTCTTCAAACCTGGTTTTCAAAGAGTTCTACACATTCTCTGTGCATTTCTATCAAAGAAGGTCAAGTGCGATTTGCACTCAAACGCTGTTTGATGCTTTGAATCTGCTTGTGATGGGCCTGCACAAAATTTCAGGATTATTTATGCAAGTTGTTTTTATTTGTTGATCTTTTGCGCTTTTGTTGTGAAATGCTTTAGAATTAAATTCATGATGAGTTGACTATTTCTGCCTATTTGCATTCTCAAGCTGTTCTCCAGCTTTGTGGACTGCATATTTTACTTTGTGCCTTTTTGGCACTGAGCCTTGGTTCCTGATGTTAATGTTCAGGTAAGTGCTTATCATAGATATTAGTACTGCTATAAACTTTCTGTGAGCATTGGATTGTCTACAAGTTGTCATTTCTTTCTTCAAACCTGGTTTTCAAAGAGTTCTACACATTCTCTGTGCATTTCTATCAAAGAAGGTCAAGTGCGATTGGACTCAAACGCTGTTTGATGCTTTGAATCTGCTTGTGATGGGCCTGCACAAAATTTCAGGATTATTTATGCAAATTGTTTTTATTTGTTGATCTTTTGCGCTTTTGTTGTGAAATGCTTTAGAATTAAATTCATGATGAGTTGACTATTTCTGCCTATTTGCATTCTCAAGCTGTTCTCCAGCTTTGTGGACTGCATATTTTACTTTGTGCCTTTTTGGCACTGAGCCTTGGTTCCTGATGTTAATGTTCAGGTAAGTGCTTATCATAGATATTAGTACTGCTATAAACTTTCTGTGAGCATTGGATTGTCTACAAGATTTAGTAGTGTTTGCTTTTCAACATTTCAAAGGAAGAATGCATTATGTGGAAAAAATTATTGAAATATTTTGCTGTAGTTGAATAGTCATTGTTCTGAGAAATAAAATGCTGCTATGCATTGCCACATTCATTTTGGAAAGATTTGAGCTGATACTGCAACAGATAAATGTTTTTCAAGAAACTTGATTTTGATGTATGTCATTGAAATACTGTTTCTACAAGTTGTGTAACCGTTATAACATTGCTTTATGGTGATTGAATTGGTGAGACTGATGTTAAGGAGTAATGCTTTTTTATAGATATTAAAACTCTACAGTTTGTTTTGATTGCACTGCAAGAAGGAACAGATGCCTCTAATTTGTCACTCTGAAAGACTATCCATCAAATAAGGTGCAACCGAGTAATGTACTGTTTGTTCACTTTTTGCATATGAATTGTCCCAGTTGTGGAATCTGTGTTACTATGGAGACATAGCGGACAAGGAAAGTACGCTCCGCCCAGTTGCTACGAGAGGTTGCGCTTAAACCAGTCGAGACTAGTTACTGTGTTGTGGCACGCTGGTAGAATATAACCAATATAAAGCTGCTGAATGATAACTGCATTGTTGGGTGTTCGTGAAAGTATTATGAGCTCATGCAGTAAGCTATTAATTACTCAGCCGTTTTAAACGCTGAAACGCTATTATTTATAGATTAACTTGGTAGTAGTGTTTAGACTTGGGTTTAAAAAAATAGAAAGTATGACAAGTATAAGTGTATGGGGTTGGTTAAAATTAGAATTGTTTTGTCGTCTGTGTAACGAGTCGGTCCACGTTGGTTTCATGCACAGTGCTCTGTGCTGCGGGCTGGTGCGGTGATTGACAGGCATCTGGCCAATCGCAGCGTTGTTTAGCTGGCGTTCTGACCAATAGCGTTGCACGTCTGGAGAGGAACTGAATGGCACCACCCTGCTCATTTTATATTACATGAACGTGTTAGGGTGGAGACGGTAGTAGACCGTTTTGGCATAGAGAATCTCCGAGCACAGTTTCTACAGTTTGAAAATTGTTAAGGGTATGATCTTTTTTATGTCATGGTCGCATTTGTCAGTTCATTTTATATTAACTGGTTGCCTGTTTTAGATTCGTGGTGCGCCGTTAAGCAACGCACAAATGGTTTTTAACGGCGTTATAATACATTTAAGGCGTGACTGTCGGAAAGTCAAATACTGACATGTAGGCCCTCAGATACGATTTACCTCATATTTCTTTGTTTTAACACGCATAGTTTTGTGAAATGGAGCATGCATTATTCGAATGTTATATATACTTTTGTTTTGCTTTACTACAGACAAGTTCAGCAGAATGCGTCCTTCTGAACAATTCTTTCCCTTTTTTTGATCAAATATTTCACTTCCTCACGTTTTTACGCTTCAGTGATTGATAGAAGCTGTTTAGCTTCGAGACAAAAACTTTATACGATCTTGTGTCTGTCTTTCAGATGGCAGCTCATTGTGTGTCGAAGGTCGAGCTCTCCATCTCTTGCAATAATCTCTTGGATAAAGATGTTGGATCCAAATCTGATCCACTCTGTGTTCTGCTGCAAAGCATCGGGGATGACAAATGGGCAGAGGTATGCATTTTAACCCTTAAAAAGCCGGTGTAGCAAAATTGCATTAAAAAAAGTAATTATTTTTATATATATATATATATATATATATATATATGAATTTTTTTTTTACTAAGGATGTCACAGCTTGCTAAGTCACTGCTTATTGACACCCTTACTAACAGTAATTTCTGTGATTTATTATTGAAATTATTTATACAATAATCATTGATGATCTAATCCATATAAACAGTATATATGTATGTGTGTGTGTGTGTGTGTATATATGTGTATATATATATATATATATATATCCATCCTTATTGCTTAATGTATGTAATCATTGCAGGTAGAACGCACAGAAAGAGTGAAGAATTGCCCTTATGGGACCGTTATCTGGTTTGAAGAATCTTTTTAAACTAATGATTTAAAGGAAATGGGATTGTAAACATTATGCATGTTTTTTCCCCATCATTGTATTTCCTAATCATGAAATAAGATGTTTACACAGCAACATGTTGTTCAGTTCTTCAGTAGCCATTGTCACTGTTCGACCGATTTATATAACATTACTGAATAAAATTGCCTTATTACCACATAACACACTTGGTGCAGGTTTTTTTTTAATGTGTAGTTTGTCATGTCTTCAACAAAAAGGCATAATATTATTTCAATTGATCCTATTCCCACTTGCCTTTTTATTATTAGGAGTAATTGAAATGCAGATCTGAGCACAGCTGTTCACCTGTACACTCATATTACGCCCTTGCTTCACTAACAGTTCAACTGTGAACTATTAAATTATCATAGGTAAATATTACAACAACTCTTCTGCCTGGGGAGTTTTTCTTCAGATGGAATTCCAGCACAGTTCCTCCAGATCGTATGCTCTGCCAATGACTTTGAAGGCCTCATGAATACTGGATCATTTGAAAGCGGCTTAATTGCGGATATACTTGTCTACCACTTATTGCAAGTCAGATTCGAGTGCCATGTT